CTCACAGGCTTGCTTTCTCTCTCCCTCCTCCTCAGCCCCATTCCTCATCTTCCCCAACAGTCAGGCAACAAAACACAAAACAAACCAGCACACCCACACACACCCAAATCTCTCATTTTTTTCTACATAGGCTTAACCATCCCTTTTTTCTGCCTTCAAGACCTTTCCTGTTATTACAAAATAACACTTTTTAAAAAAATATTGGGACTTGAACCCAGGACCTCAGCACTGAGCTACATTCCAAGCCCTTTTTAAATTTTAGCACAACCAAGTCTTGCTAAATTGCTAACTTGCTCAGGCCAGGCTTTAACGTTCCACCTTTCTGCCTCAGTCTCCCAAAGTGCTGGGATTATAGGCATGTGCCTCCCTACCTGCCTTACAACAAAGGCGATTTATTAAAATATTTGCCCCAAGGCAATTCCATCTTAAAAGGAACAATTTTTACTAACGCCTAGAATTAGGGCTGAAGGTGTAACTGAGTGGCAGAATGATCAGTGCCCTAGGGCTGATCCCCAGCACAAAAAGACAAAACTTGGTAGAATTAATTTTTAAATTAAATTATTCAAACATAAAAATTCAGCAACCGCTGTGAGCCAGGTTCTGCAAGTTGCCAGATGTGTAACAGGAAGAACACACACTCCTTGCCCTGAAGGAATGGTGAAAGGGACAGGAGAACCAGCACACAAAGAGCAGTGTGATGTGATAAGCTTTAAAATAGGAGGTCAGAGTGCAGCCACAGCACCCACTGGGATAAAAATAAATTCTTTCCTTTCAAGAGCATCCATAGTTTCCAAAGACAATACTGAAAGCAAATTGGATGGCTTCTTTTAGGATTATGATCTAAAGGTGCTAGGAGCCATGCGACTTTGTCACCTGGGTTCTGAAGCAATTAAGATAAGAATGCCAGGCTGAGGCAGGAAGACTGCAAGTTGCCCAGGCAACTTAGTGACTTAGCAAGACTCTATCTCAAAATTAAAAGTAAAATTTAAGGGCTGGGGATTTAGCTCAGCGGTTTGGTGGACTTCCTTGCAAGCGCAAGGACCTGAGTTCAATCCTTGGTACCCCCCCCCAAAAAAAAAAAATTAAAAAGAGCAAGAAGCTGAAGGGTAGAGACCAAAGTATTGCTGACAGAGGGACAAGGGCCAGGATGGACGTCAGAGGTTCTTCTTGTGGGCGAGTGACTTCCTAATACTTTATAATACCAGTTGAACCTTCTATAGGAGAGAGTGCTAGCCACACCCTCAAGAGAGGAAAAAGGAGAGAAGGGATGGGCTATGGATGTGTGCCTGGCCCTCTCAAATTCCCCATGTGGGTAAGAGGGAAGAGAAAGGCCATGGGGAGGAGGTTCCTTAAGTCTGTTTTGTGATCTCTTGCAGGATCTATTGCTTAACATTGCGAGGCCCTGGGTTCAACCCTTAGCACCAAACAAACAGACATTTGACTGAATTTAAATTGAGTTTAAGAATACTGGTGGGATAAAAAGGGAGTCCAGTGGTACCTGCGCCTGGGCCCTGTGGTCACAGAGGAGGCCTTGGTGACTATGTGGCTTATACTTTCCGTGTGGGGGAAGATGAATGCTTTTGTTCTTGGGACCAACTCTGCTCCAGGGCACCGTGGGCCTGCTTACTGACCGTGAGGCTGGGGTAATAGAAGCTGGGAACAAGTAGGGGTGAGCTATCCGGATTGGGCATGAGTGGTTTCCAGACAGATCTGTGGTGCTTGTCTTTTTTGACACCTGTCCATGTTTGCAGTTGCTTGGAGACCTTTGTTTGGCCATAGAAGGAAATGTTCAGAGAACAGATCTTTTCCTTGATATTGCTGGGGTATGTGCAGCAGTTATTATAACTTGCTCTGCAGGAGCTCAGCTGTTTACTGGTCAAGTGACTCACTAGGCCTGTGTGAGCCTCAGTTTCCTCAGCCGGAAAATGGATGTGACTTTTAGGGTGGTAATGAGGAGTGGTAAAGTCAAGCACATAAAACAATAGGTGGGCATGGTGACTCAAGCCTATAATTCTGGCACTCTGGGAGGTTGAGGCAGGAGGATCTTAAGTTTGAAGTCAGCCTGAGCAACTTAGCAAGAAAGACACTGTCTCAATTTTAAATGGAGGAAGGGGCACTGAGGATGTAGTTCAGTGGTAAATGCTCCTCCGTTTGTTCCTCAGTATCAGAAAAAAAAAAAGTAACAGTTTCTTTGGGGTGACAAAAAGGTTCTGGAAATGGACAGTAATGTTAGTTGCACAACATTGGGAATATATTTGGCGCTACTGAATTGTACACTTAAAATGGTAAGTTTCGTGTATGTATAATACAATAAAAAAGTTAAAATGGCTGCCACAGTGCCTGACCAGTATCTGTACCTATCAAGTGTGATTCTTTCCCTGTCCTGTGAGTGAAGCTACATCAAATCGTCCAAGTTTTGTTTGGTGATTTTTTTTTTTTTTTTTTTGGTGCCAGGGATCAAACTCGGGTCCTTGCGCTTGCAAGGCAGGTGGCGGAACCACTGAGCTAAATCCCTGGCCCATCGGTTGGATATTTTACACGTGGCACATGGATCAAAGTACATGTATCATCTTCAAGGTGCCTCTGTAAACTCCTTTGTACAGCAACACCCGAGTGCCCTGATCTATCCATCCATTCTCACGTTTCTCCTTCTAAATTGCTAATATTATTCTTAGTAGCATTTTTTTTTTCTGGTACCAGGGATGGAACTCAGGACCTTGCACTTGCGAGGGAGGTATGGTGCCAGAGATAAATCCCTGGCCCCAATGCCACTATTATTCTTTCCTTCAATATAATGTTTCTTTGTTGTTTTGCGATAATGGAGATTAAACCTAGAGGGACTTTGCTCTGAGATACAACCCCAGATCTTTTGTTATTTTAAATTTTGAGACAGTGTCTTGCTGACACACTAAGTTGTTCAGACTGAGCTCAAACTCTTGAGCCTCCTGCCTCAGCCTCCCAGAATGCTAGGATTATAGGCATGTGCCACCATGCCTGGTTTAGAATGGTTTTGTAGAACATTGTATCTAGGGCATTACTGTAGGATGCTACTTCTAAGTTATAGAGAGCAGCAGACAATATTGCCCAGCCAATATTATTTTCTTACAAAGTGTTTATTTGGCCTGCAGAGGAATTCTGAGAGACTGTGTTTCCAAAGCATTTTGATGGTACTGTGCTAATATGCTTAGGGACTAAGAATATCACTTCCTTTCTAAGCAGCCTTCCTAGGGATAGAGGATGGCAGCTGGGGCAAGTCCATTAGGTGAATATTTCTTTGAAGAAATCAAGAATCTCAGAGTTAAAGTTGTCTCCAGTCCCTGTCTTGGATCCATTCACTGGAATCAGACTCAGCAGTCAGCAGCCATGGCTCTCCTTGGGTCCCATGAGGAGGACTGACGTGGGTGTTGCTGAGCCACTCCCAGGCCAATGAGGGGGTGGTGGAGTTGCCACAGTCAGGTCCCTCCTCTGGTCCAGGACAAGCAAGCTGATGAGTCAGGTTTAAATTCCTTTAATGGATAATTAGTGAGTAGACAGTATTACAATTCCAGGTTGAGCTGGGTGTGGTGGCACCCACCTGTAATCCCAGCACTTGGGAGGTTGAGGTCAGAGGATCCCTATGAGTTTGCGGCCAGCCTGGACTACAGAGTGAGTTCAAGGCTAGTTTAGATTACAGAGAAAGACTCTGTCTCAAAAAAAAAAGGGTGGGGATGTAGCTCAGTGGCACCACACAGGCCTCACAAGCACAAGGTCCTGAGTTTGATCCCCATACCAAAAAAAAAAAAAAAAA